AATTTATGCATCGCAAACTGCAAGCATCGAGCGAGGTGGACATCCCGACATGGAATTTCTTCACAATGCGGAGCTGTCGGCAATTTTGCCAAGCCTCTGCTCCAATGAGCCTGATGCCCTCTACACTGACGTGTCGCAGACGTGGAACCCCTAGCTCCTCGTCAAAAGCGTCCGAATCGGGTGCTTCCGCGGGGAGCAGCTCTGCCCACAGGGGTTTTTTAAACAAAGCATTGTGATCTGCCTGCACCCACTGTTCAATGTCACCCATCCAGGGGGCAAATCGTTGAGCACCCTCTTCTTTGGGTTGGTATCCGCAGCCCCCCCTTCACTTCCGCGGGCGTGAAGCTCTGCCGCTCCATGACTACAACCAGGTCAGGCAGGATCTGCACTGGTAGATGGACAAAGAGGTCATTGGTGGGCAGCGTCTGCTCTCCATGCTCCATTTCCCTGACAAAGAACATGATGACAGTGCGCACAAAGGTGAGGGCATCGGCGTCTTTTTCCTTTGTTGTCTGTGGTTTCCCTTCCACAGCTTGGGCTGTTCCCTCGTGTCTGTGTTGACTATCAAAGAAACAGCACCTTGCGATGAAAGCAAGAAGCCCATACTGCCAGAAGCGGGGGCTTGCAAAGGGCAAGTTGTTCGTGAGTGATGAAGGGCATGCTGGGTGCCCACTCTTCACAAAGGCGAAGAGGTTGGACAGGGGAGCAGCAAAGGCTTCACTTACACGGAGGAGATCTCCTATATAGGCTTGGTTGATTTCATCTGGAATGTCTACAAAGGAGGAGCCGTGGAGTGCTTGTTCTGTCACCCTCCTCCAGAGGAATGTACGGACGAGGCGATTAATTTGCTTGTTGGAAATAGCAAGTCTCGCCATCGGCCATTCTCCATGGCAAGTCACTGTAGATCTGTGATGGGGGGGAGCGGCACACTTTGCCCGTCAGCTTCTCTGGCCGTTCGAGCCGCATTTTGATGGTCGTACACACCAATATACCCCGAGCGCTGCCTGAAGGTGCATTTTGTGGAGCAGGCATTGAACAGCTCTGTTTCCCAAGTGACTTCACAATATCGGGCCGAGGGCCTGTGAAAACTGCAAACGACTTA